TGTTTTGTATTTCTTAATTATGGCTCGATCAACACTAAATTTTCCATTGTTGTCATTGGCCAAAATTGATCACGTGGTACGATCTCGCATGGGCTCTATTCCTCAAATTTCGCTACGAATACTTAGCTGCATTTGGTATTTTGAACCCTCCTTTCGATGTTGGGAAATGTGATCAAGGCTTGTCTCTCGTGTTTGATATATCATTGTCCTAACTCGTGTCATAATTAGTATAGATCTTTACGATTATATTTCTTCGCTTCCACGTTAGTTTTAGTTTCAAACACTTGACAAAACACTTTTCCAACACCTGAAAGTTTCTTAAAAATACTCTGTTACGCTTCCAATTTTCAAGTGTAGAAATGTGACGAGACTCTGGCTCTCCTGTTTGATATATTACTCTAATACAGGTAAATGCGTGTTTTTGTTCACAGTTTTGTTTTGCTTTTTTTACTTTCAGTATTTTGTCGCTAACAAGAACTTTAGAGATACTGTGCGGCAGTATTTGAATCCCAGAATCCGCGCTCGTTATTTAAGATTCGTTCCTGTCTCCTGGAAAAAGTGGATCTGTATGAGAGTGGAAGTGTTCGGCTGTGATGCTGGTGAGTTTAGGAATCCGTCCTTATCCTCGTCAATCTTAACCATCCTTGTTACTTACATGAAGTGGATGTTAAAAACATTATGTTGATTTTGTTGGTAAAAGAGCCATGTCACGGATGGTACATCCTGAACTTTCCAGGTTTATCGATTGTAATGCATCTTAAATCTTCTCCAATCTTAACCGTCCTTGTTACTTATATGGAGTGAATATGAAGATAACGTTAACTGTGTTGATTATGTTGGCAAAGGAGCCATGTCACGGATGGTGCTTCCTAACTTTCCAGGTCTATCGATTGCAATGTAGCTTAATCGTCCCCAGTCTTAAGCGTCCTTGTTATATAGGGGATGCTAACATAATTATGTTAATTATGTTGGCAAAGGATCCGTGTCACAGATGGTGCATACTAACTTTCCAAGTTTACAGTACGTAATACGTCTTGAGAAATCTCTTCAGTCCAGACCATCCTTGTTACTCATTTATAATTATGTTAATTATGTTAATTATGTTGGCAAAGGAGTCTTGTCACGGATGGCACATTCTAATCTTTCCAGGGTTATCCGGCGTTCGCAATCCTTCCCAATCTTTCTCCAATCCTAACCATCCTTGATTCGTTTTGGTTCATTATCGATTGTTTTTCTACCCGTAGCGAAATACTCTTTTTTGAGGACACCATTGATGGAGAAAGTTTCAACTCTTTTTTGTACAATGATCGTGATCACGCAGTTTCAAACACAGTAAAACCTGTATTAAGCGGTCACTCACCAGAGCTTAATTAACGTCCGCGTACTACAGGTTCGTTGTCTTAATACATGAGAAGAAACGTTTGGGATTTACTGAGGCTGGCGGCCGCATAGCACAGGTTTTCCGATTAAAATGGAGTCTATTCGATACAGGTTCTTATGCAAATTACTTCATTTCTGCGTTGCAACATTTCAATTACTTCATTTCTGCGTCTTCAACATTAGATATCAGGGACCNGTTGCAGGTGAATCGCTTCAAGATAAACTGGAAAAGAAACTCCTCGGTAAGCCTAATCTATATCGTCTAGGTCCTTCAGTTTTCAGCTCAACTGGTACTCAGTTAGATCGGCAGTCAAGCAGTCAGTTATTCCGTCAGCTAATCCGAAAGAAAGTCAGTCAGTCAGTCAGTCAATCAGTCAGTCTTTCAATTAATCAGACGGTAATTTAATCAGTCAGCCAGTCCGTCAGTCTGTCCGTCAGACAGACAGACAGTCAGTCCTCACTCAATCAGACGGTGTTTAGGTCAGTAAGTCAATTAGCCAGTCCGTCAGTCTGTAAGCAAAACAGGCAGTCAGCCATTTAGTTAGTTCTGTAAAGCCAATGCAACACCTCCCCGGCCCCATGAACATTGATGGGGCAGTTTCTCTAATTGTTACGTTAGATTAATTGACATGAATCGGTTGTACAGACTTCTTTATTCTTGAAATTTCCATAGAGATAAACAAAGAACGCGTGGAATATGTTTTGGCAACGCCTGGGATTATGAAGAATCCCTATCGTGAAGACATGAACATTTACTACATGAGGGACGTAATACAATGTGGCAAGCCACCTAAATATGGCCATGGAGTCATGTGGCAAAACCACCACTATCTCAGGTAAGTTATCATTAAAACCAGAGAGTTTTTGTTACATAAAATGCAACCACAACAAGCGAGTTTCCTTCAGCTTGAAGTATGCTTTAAAGCTTCCCGCAATCAGTTTTGAATGTCACTTAAAATGATGAGGTAGTCAGTTAGTCAGTTTTGTCACGTTGCAGCAAAATTCGCGCTTAGGGCAGTTAGCTGGTTTTCTTTCTTGTTTACGGCATCGAGTCTTAATACCACTTGGAAAGTCGATGTTCAGCAAATTTCATAATTCCATGTACGTGTAGAGTTTTTGTTACTTACAATCCTGGGGTCCTGAGGCTTTCTGAGACAGGACTTCTCTGAAGTAATTGTTCTAATAGATTTGCTGCCTCGAAATAGTTTGAGCTTCACAGCACACACCATTTTCGTAAGAAAGCGGCTCTGGTGTCAGCTTGTCTGATGAATAGACCAAGATCTCAAAGCCACTAGATCCCCTTCAAACCTGGCAAATGAAAGTATTTATTCATCTTTTTGTTTTGTTTTTTTTTCAGGGAAATCCTCGATTTTAAGCAAACTGTCTGGGTACAGAAAACTTTTAATAACGAGTTCAGTGCGTCAGGACGGAACGTTCTGTTTCTGGATGAACGGCGAACCCTTAAAACAAGATCCGGCAGACATTTTATATGCAAGGGAAAACTACGAGACGGCACAGAAATCTATCGGCACCACGTGATAACCGCTAAAATTGGTATGTGTTGCTTTAAGCCATTTCGTGGTTTTCTACCAGCGCCATTTTGAAAGTCCTCTTAAGGTTACAGTATACCTTCGGGTCGGCAATTTTCTTCAAATTTGGATTTTGGGGTCAAAATAGTGGTCAAAGAATAATCGCTAATTTCTCAAAAAAAAATTTGAAAAAGGCTAAATATTGGCGGAGAAATGGCGGTTTTACGTTTTCAACGGAAGTAAAAGTTTACCTCTTGATTGACAGCCCTATGGCGCGTATGAAATCAACCGAGACGATTTTTGCGGGAATTACCCATATGGATGTCACGAATTGACTACTCAGTCGATGAGCATTGTTGTTCTGACTACCCAGCATTTTTGGTATTAGGTGTGTCTCTATTAAGTTATAAGTAAACATAGACCACGTTTAAACCATGGACTAGTTCGA